TCTTAAATTTAAGCCTAAATATTGTTTAAAATTACTCTTCACACAATTTTGTAGTGAAATGGTGAGATGTTATAAATTAAATTGCACTTCAGGGTGTGTTGCTGACTTAACATTTTATGACAAACAGACACACACAAAGTGGATGTTTCTTTAGGTTTAGACCCTAAAGTCAATTAAAAACATGCTTTAAATATACTTTACCAAATCTCCTGAGAGCCGGATCAATGCTGTTAGGTCTGTTGGTGGCAGCCATGACAATGACATGAGCTCTCTGTTTCAGGCCATCCATAAGAGTCAGAAGCTGAGAAACAATGCGCCTCTCCACCTCTCCATGAGTCTATAAAAAACAGAGGACATTTTAAATCCCATGTAGATTTTAGAGTGCTGACTGAATTAGAGTACCTAATCAGGTAGTCATCAATACGACAGAGTTTTGGTTCAGGTCGCAGCTGCTAGATTTTTAACACAGTAAAAAATAAACTTCAATAAATACATAAATAATTACTAAACATTTTGTTTTCATTTCCAAGGTCCAGAAACTTAAATTTATTTCACAAGAGTCACATAATAAAACTGACTGTGTGTATGTATTTAGCCACCTATTCAGTTCCATGATCTTGCTTACCTTTTCTCTCTTTGGAGCAATTGCATCAAGCTCATCGATAAAGATGATGGCAGGAGCATTCTTTTCAGCTTCCTCAAAGGCCTTTCTCAGGTTACTCTCACTTTCTCCAGCCAGCTTACTCATGATCTCAGGGCCTAAGACACAGGCAAACAGTTTGAAAAGCAACCTCACCCATAGTATCAGCTACTGATAGGATTCTCATAAATACTCATTTAAATCAATTACAGACATTAAAAACCAAAAACAGCAAACCCTATCTAAATCCACTCCAGCATCAAACAGTCCTAACTAGGATTACGTAGGTATAGAGGAAATAAATTAATGTTCACACCATTAATCAGAAAGAAGAAAGCTCCCGTTTCATTGGCCACAGCTCTGGCAATCAAAGTTTTTCCAGTTCCAGGGGGTCCGTAAAGCAGAATTCCACGCGGTGGCTGTAAAGAAGGGGGTTGATGAATGAAATCAAATTTAAGACAAGATTTTTTTTTCTTAAATTGAAAGTATTTTATGACGGATATAAAGGCGGCAGACTGAATCTCTTTGAACTTTGAACCTCTCATCAACCATTACATGAAACAAACTGAAACAAAATATAGAAAGCACTCTTACTTTACTTTGATGAAATACTAGAAATGCATACCAGATATGATAAGCATAGCACAACAGCCCAAAAAAAGAACAAAAAATAAAAAAAACAAACAGAAAAAAAACAACGACACACATACACACAGATGAAGAATACTCTAAAAGTCTGTGTCATTACCAGTAGGTATTTTCCACAGGTTATTCCTGCACAGGTTTACTTTTACTTTTACTGGAACAGATTAGGATCTCTAGGCTGTGTAAATTGTTTAGCTGAGTGGGAAAATTGGCCTCATTTTTTTCAAAAACACAGTTAAATTCTTACTTTACAATTCTAGAAGAAAGCTAAACCAGATGATCAATTTACATTTTTTAAGTTAATTTAAAAATAAATAAATAAATAGCCCCAGCAGTCTCACCTTGACTCCTATGGCCTTAAACAGGGCTGGGTGCCTGAGTGGCAGTTCCACCATCTCTTTGATCTGAGCCAACTGCTTCCTTACTCCTCCAATGTCATCGTAGCCCACTTCATTCAGGGACTCTTCCTCATCCTGCATGTTCAAACACAAGCTGTTCACATTTTTGTGCAGTTGATTTTTTCATTTCTTTTCTTTTCAGTACAAGTTAAACCACACACAGTTGCTGCTACCCACCTCTCTCCGAATTGGCTCTCCCTCACAGTGAATGACAGTATCAGGAGCAACGATGCAGTAAGGGGATGGGTCAGTCTCTACCACCTTGAACTCCACAGCACGCATTCCTCCTCTGACCAGGAAAATGTCACCTTGACAAGGTAAAAGTTGAAAACATACAGTTTCAATAGAGTGGTAAGCTGGTGTACCCTGAAAGAGATAAAATATGCAAATAAAACCTCTGGTCTGACAAAAGAAACTGGTACTCACCTTTGCGGATTGGCCTGTAAGCCTCCAAGAAATATGGCTTCAGGTAGACCTCAAACAGGTTGCCAGTAATTCCTTCTACTGTGTCATCTATTGGAAGAACATGAATCCTCTTTCCGTACTTCACATCAGGACATGGCTGAATGCTGAGGGAGATAATAGCCTTAAAAACACAAATTTTTCAAAAGTCGTTACATTTTTTTTATAAAGTTGTGTGCTTTTACATACCTGATGACGTCACCCAGGCGGACCCTCAGATTGTTGCGGACCACCCTGTTCATGCGAACTTTTTCGTCAGAACAGGTGTCATCAGACAGCACAATACACACAGTCTCGCGCCTCTTCTTTCCTTTCATCAGCACTGTGTCTCCACGGAAGAGCTGCAGCTCATCCATTTTGGTCTTTAAACACATTAAACCATTATTTTGTGAATATAAGTGTTACTACCTTTCATGAAAAATCAAAGTCTTGAACTTGTTAATAAAGCCATAAACCATTCCAACTATTTACCTGAGAGAGGGAGACCACGCTGTTGTCTTCATTGATGGATTCATCAACAATCAGTCTGTTGGGTCTGTTCTTCTGTTTCAGAATTGCAGTTGCAAGATCATCATTTTTGGATCTATGAGGAGCGCAAAATAAGAAAGTCAAACACAATATTTCAGTACCTTTAAGGTCTCATGTGTAGTTTCCACCACTGAAGGAAAAAAAGTGCTGACCAAGTCAAAATTTGAGGTTACCATCTCAAAATCTTGATTTTTTTTCTGAGATAATCAATTGAAATGTTAACAACACTCTGCCTGGTAATTTTTTTTTTTTTAAGCCCGCGCATATTATATAAATTACAATAAATAGAAAAGGAAAACTACTTGTAAATAAAAACAGTCAAATGTTATCATTGCTATGTCATAGTACTAGTCAACTTTAAGTGTAGTAACATCATTAATAAAGTTGATGAAACTGGCTCAAAAATTGCTGTGCACACTGAAACTTGTAACAGTTTCTGGCTTTGTCTTTGGGGAAATGCAAAGCACCTTTTTCTACCCTGTTTTGAAAGAAACTTTAATAATGGAGTCAACTTTAATAAAGGAGTCAATAATGTGAACTCCTTCAAAAGACAATTGCTTGTGCAACACTGTAAAAACAACACTGGGATGTCTAGTACTCAAATGGGAGTTCTTGTACAATAAAGTTTTGGTACCTTGCGTTGTTACTGCAAATGCTTAAGTTGTGTATGTCAGTGTATTGTTTGTAGACTTTTATAATGACCCACAGAAATAAGTATTATAAATGTAATTTACAGGATGTGGCAGAAACCCCCATTTTATAGTACATGCCCATGTTTCTACATTAACTCTTGTAATTAAGCACTTATGACCAACTTTGAATTATTCAGTGCAAACAGGTCGTTTACACAACTCGCCGATTGTGATTCAGTGCTACATACGGACAATTCACGCCATCATTCGTACATTCAAAATATTAAAATAAAACACATGGGTATAATATCACCAATATGATTCTGTAAAAGTCCGGGACAGTTTATATGGTTTCTCTTTCATGTTGTTAGCACGCTAACCGTAGCTTTTGCGCTAACCCACTGGCGAGTAAGCGAGCCCAGATGACACAGCAAAAGAATTAGAAAAACTTTGTTAGCTAGGTCCTCCCTAAGCACTCATGCTACAAATGTAGCGTGACTTTTCAGACGTTAGCTACCAACGTAATCGTGGGGTACATATTGCTTACATGTATAATTGCATTACTGTTCAGCTAACGGTAAATAGAATCCAACTAAACTGAGAGGCATTTGGAATGAGTGTCCAACACTGTTAGCCTGCTAGCTTGTTTGTGCTGTGCACAGTGGCAGCTATAGCTATAAAGATAGCCATTTAGCTGCCTAGCGTTTTCTTTACTAAAGCCTTTAACATGTAACACGGGTTTATGCCATTTACTGAGCTCATTTATATTCGCTGTAATGAAAATCTGATGACCAATCTAAAAACGGGCCATTCACCGGTGGGTAGGCCACTGTGTCGGTATGATGTGTGATGGTGGATGGCTGTGGCCTTGCCAGTGCTGCTAAGCTAATGTTAGCATTCAAACACGACAGCGATGACTGCGCTTTGTCACACAGCTGGCTAACGCTCAGCACCGTTAACCGGTCAACGACAACGGCCTGAATGACAACAGTTAGACAAATGTCAACAATCAAAGGGAATTGTAGAATTGTGAGAACTACACTGTTACGTTAACCAACGGACAAAAGTGCGGAGGATGAAGTGACTGACCCCATTAGCTACCCTGTTAGCAATGTATTAGCATTCCAGCTAACTTTAATAAACTAACGTATTTTAACTTACATTAGGTAATTAAAAGGGATTTGTTGGTTGGTCTTTTATTCGAAATAAACATTGTCTGAATAGACTATGATATTTATACTCACTCCCCTCCCGAAGCCATGGTCGTCCAACCTGGATTACAATTAATAAATAAATTCTAGCTAAATGTTTAAGAAGCTTAACCGGTTCTCTGCTCAACCTTCTCTGTGATTTCACGCGAAAGAGCAGCGGTTTCCGTGCTTTCTTTACACTTATACCATGAACTGGATGCATCCTTCATTCTGATTGGCTACCGGTTGTCTGTCAAACCCATCAACCAATCAAAAAATTGGAGTTTGTTGTTACCGAGTCTTTTGGACGAAGGTTTTTCTTCTTATTGGTCCTTCGACTGAATTCAGCCACCCAATTAACGTTCACCGCGTTGATATAGAATAATCACCAAAATATGAAATTGACTCTTTCTGTTGGTAACAGCAAATGTGTAAGATTAAATTTATGGAAGACAGATAACACATGTATACACACACTTTCAAGGTAAATAATGCATTTTTTCCAAGAAAAACAACAGGATATACTTCATTTATTCAAATTTAAAAAAAATGAGACAAGATGTTAGATAGCAATACATTTTTGTAGCTTGAAATTTGATCAAAGACATCCTAAGTAAATTATGTTCCCTTAATGGATTGTCGGCTAACCCATCCACAACACCTCATTCCAAACACCAGCCATCACACAGTCTGATATATGGTATACATCATTTATCAAGGCAGTCCATCATGTAATGATCAATGTCCAGTTTATCTTAATGGAGATGCTGATGGAACAGTTGTCAGCTAGAGTGTGGTATGGTAACCAAGCTGAGTATTATACTGGAGGAACTGGCATGACAGATACTTTTCCCTGTATGGTGTGTGGAGGGGGGACTGCAGTGTAGCTCATTGTTTTGTTTTTTTTTGCTTAACCGTTTTTGAAAATTCAGCTGACAGTGCATGTACAGCATATTAAAGGTTTGCTGATGTAGAGAGAACTTTATTGGCTAGATCACCTCACCAGACTTTTTCTTAAAGCCAGTTCAGTGACTCCAAACAATGCATCCCCTAATCTTCCATTAGGGGATTAATTATATTATAATTATTAATAATAATAATAATAATAATAATAATAATAATAAAAAGAAAACAGTGGCATGTGATTCATGGCTGCGCCCACTGGTTTTGACACCACGTCTCTGTTTCAGGCCACGTGACCTTTTATTGCATAGACAGAGCGCTTTAGGTTGAAGTTGTAAAATGTTGCTTTTTTTGTTTCTTTCTTTGGGTTTTGTTTGTTGTTTGTCATGCATACAATACACATACACTGTGCCCATCCTTAGTTTCAAACGCTTACAGTAAGCTTATTTTATTGTCCCTGTAGGTCCATGTATGTATGGCGTGGGAAATGAAACCCATAGCAAAATCGATCCAACTCATTAAGTCACAAGTAATTCTTCTTTTGTCTCCAGTCTGATTAGGTAAGGCCAAGTTCCTGTATTCTAAGGCGCAACTCCACAGAGTCCAACAAAGGGCCAGACTGAGGATCCTGTAGGTACAAAGGCAGTTTTCTGCAACACAGACAAAGATTAGAGTCATCATTGCATAGCTAATGTATCTGCATATAGAGAAGTGATTAAACTATCAATCCTAGGGAAAGAGGCAGGGAAGACCCTGGTCAGGTCAGACAACCTTCCATGTAGTTTCATCACAAATTAACATAACATGCGTGTCTGTGGGAGGAAGCCAGAATACCCAGAGAGAGAGCCTGCAAACTGTCAGCTTGTATTTTGTGAGGTGACAGTGCTGACCTCTGATAACCACTGGAATAACATCCTGGTCGGGTGTTAGTATGTTAAACTCCTGCTTGACAATCCAGCTAAATCAAACTCCACTTTGTGTCTGTAATTAGAAATTATCTCAAATCCCTTTTGAGTGCTTGTTCTTGTTTACATGCAATTTCCAACAAAAAACAACAAGAGCGAGAACAAACAAATTGTCACCTTGCGACTGACTGTCAACCAACAACAATGAAGTTGCTGTTTCATTCATGCTCTATTAAGCAATAAGATGTAATCACTTAATTTTAATTCATCTTTAAGCTTTCTAAGCCACCTTATTTGTCTCCAACTTTTTTTTAGCAATAAGCTACAGACCAACACTGGAAGGAGTGTCAATCCCTGTGCAATTTACTGAGAAACTGCACTGTGTAGCTACAGCACAAATTCCTGATTTATTTAGCTCATCCTTAACTAAATGTTTGTGTCTAAGTTGAAGAAATCTCCTCAAGGCATTTGAGAGAAATTGCTTTCATGAGATTGGAAGGAATATACAAAACAGCCAGAAAACATTTGCACATAGCGAGAGAAATTGACTGAACCACAGAGGACTGGCGATGGCAATGTTAAGGCTAACTCTTTAATACACATTTGACCTTATATTACCTGGTAACATTTTTTGTGTATACTAGCAACAAAAAAAACGGCACAGCAGTATTTTGGACACATCTGAAACTGCGCTGTAGAGAAGGTTATTGAACAAACTGTGATCCACCACGGATAATCCAGACCACCCCTGCAGAATTTACAGGACATGCAGCTGAAAACCTTCTCCAAACAGGATAATTTAGCTCCTCGCCATAAACACAGATAAAGGAAATCTTTAAAGCTCATCCAGTATCTCCAGATCACAATACATCTGACTAGCTGATTTAACCGTCCACCATATTTTACACTGTCTGACATTTGATGTGCTTACTACATTTATTACACCATTACTGGTTCATTTTATTTTATTGATTTTGAGCCATTTTATTATTGTGTGGTGCAATTGTGTGATGTTGTATTATTATTGTTGTTATAATAAGCATTTTACATTTGTACTGTATTTAAATATTTAAATTTCTTTCAGTTATATTTTTACCTACCGAGTTTCTTTTTTCTCTTTATCTTTATTTAACTTTCTATCATTTCTACCTTAATGCATTATTCAGATTTTCTTGAAATACTGAAGGCTGTTGTAACTCAGGAATTTCCCAACTTATGGGATATATAAAGCACATCTAATGCTTTATAAATATTGCTGTGAATAGGAGTTAAAAGATGTCCACATCTATTGAAATTAATGTTGAAATGATTCTGCTATCGAGTTGTGCACTAGCCTGGAAATCTATGTGGTTGCAGCAATCTGACAGCAGAAGGGTTATTAACATTATGAAAATTCACTGAATGCAAATTGAGGAAAAGCTTTGAATGTGACTTTATCAAAAGACTGAAACAGTGGCACTGGTATAGCTACACATTATACTGTGGTACTGAGAAACCTGCAAAATAAAAAAATGCATGAATTGTATAAAACGTGCCAAATTCCAAGGTGTCAGTGACTGTCAGTAGATGCAGCTAAGATATCAGTATGAGCGGCCAGTATGACATCCTTCCTGGATAAAAAAATCAATGACCTCGTTTTAAGAAAAAAAAAAAATTCTAGGTGACATCCTTTTCGAGCTGTTGTGTTCACAAGATATTCAGAAAACTTGACCTCTGACCTTGACCTTATCATGCTCCCCAACTGTGTCCCAGAGTTCCAGTCACCATAGGATCAAATATCTTCTACAGTATTACGTACAGCAGTTAACATTATAAACTTCAAATGTAGTGACGGCATTTAACAATACAAGAATGAAAGCCTTACTCCACTGAGGTTTGAGTCGTGAGGCTCCAGGTCTTTTCCCAGCAAGCTGCTGCCTCGTGCTTCCTGCCAAGCCTCCATAGCACCTCACCGCACCACAGCCCAGCTCCTGTATAATCTGAGACAACACATACAGCACAACAACATGTTATAGCACAATACCAAGTAAATCAAATCCACACTCAATACAATCCTGTGGTCTACAGCGTTATCGGATGACCCTCCCCTTTTTGTCTCTGCAGGGTTTCCTCCTGCAGAGGACAGTAGTGGAGAGGGTCATTGGGATAATTGGTTTACACCTGTGTAGCATATTCCACATGGTTTAAGCAGGCCTGAGCTCCTAGGAATGACACCTCCAGATTTTGTCTGTTTCCTCTTTCACACCGATGCCAACATCAGCACATACATGTAATGCTCATCCGTGCATCCATGTCATGACTGATACTTCTGACTCCTCATACCTCATGTTTATTAGTTTTCTTTATGGTAAATAAAACAATGATAAGCAATACAACCTGTCTTGTGTCCCCTATTTGTCACTGAGTGTGGGCCAATAGTGAAGAACAGTGTGATAAATGTTACATATAAGAAAAAAAGTATTATATACACTGATGTATAAAATTAGGAGTCTATGACTTAACTTATTTTCTCTTTGTATGACCAGCTAGCTACAATGACAGAGTACTGCTGATATATCAAATGTCAAAAATAGCTTCAACTTCTGCTATTCACAGGATTAAGTTACAGCTGTGGCGTGTATACCTGGGAAGGCCTGCAGGCTGAGCTGGAGGTCCCTCAGCGCCTCTCTCAGCTGGTCCATCTGGGTGAAGCTGATACCCCTCCATGCTAGTGAAAGCCCCTTCATTCTTTGTAGGGCACAGAGATCTTTCCCATGTTTAACATTCACATCTGCAGCAGGGATCTGGGGTTGGAAATCTGTAATCGACCATAAAATACAGAAAATAACAGAAAGACAGGGAAAAAAAGGCAAAAGTTACCCAAGTATTTATAAACTCATTAAGGTACTCACCTCTGTTTTTTAAGTGCACCTTCACCAGCAGGTTGATGCACCTGTAATACAGAATGCAGTGTTTTGTTTTGTTTTAATAACCAAAATACACAGAAACAAATAAAATTACTCTCATCTCTCACACCTCGTGTAATGAGTCACAGCTTGTTTCCAGTCCTTCAAGTGAGCGTGGCAGTGACCCTGGAGGAGGTAAGCAGCTGCGGCCCAGAGGAGCATCGCCACCTTATCTTCACCCTCCACACTCAGACCCCTCGCGTCTCCTCCAATTCCTTCGTCTGGCTCTTCCAACACCACTTTCTCTGGTACCAGCTCCAGTGTCGTGCTGATGACTTCATTGCAGAGCGCCATACAATCTGCAGGACGCCGGGTAAAGAGCAAGGCAGCGCCAGCCTCCAGGTAAAGCTCCGGCATCCTGGGAAGGACAGAAACCTCAGCATCTACCTGAGGCAAACAAATACATGTCACTGAACCCATTAAGGAGAATTGAATTGTGATTTTGTTTGTTATTATTTTCACTCTTACTGCATGTTGATCCTCTGAGTGAAGAGCAGCCAGCAGATCCAGATAATGTTCAACACCCTCAGTAACCCTGCAGAAACATCAGCAACACTCCACTGTTAATACAAGTATACTTTTCTCTTCCTCTCTATTGGCATTTTCTGTGTTGGAGTAGAGGTCAGCTAGCATCCCTGCTGCTCTTCTTACCTGCCACTGAGCACACACTTGAGGGCAAGGCTGTAAAGGACACTTAGGGCAGAGGGGACTAAAAGCAGCCTGCTTAGTGAATGGCTACTGAGGAGTAAGGACGGAGAGAGGGGATGGATACCTCCCAAAACGGGCTCTGTAGCAGGGGGCAACATCAAAGTCTGTGGGAAAAGATAGGTCTGATGTTTGATGCAGGCCTGAATTTATCTGAAAATATGTCAGTGATCAAAATAAACTTCTTTATCTTCATCTGTGAGGCTTCTAACTTAAAAATATATGTACATGCAGGGATTACTGGCATCCTTTCTCTTGTCTGCATGTATGGGCTGCATATGGAGAGTGTATGTGCATCACTCACTGAGTGCAGTAGGCGAAGAGCCTGTATCTCAGCCTGTGTGTTTCCCAGCTGTCTATAGATGAGCATGCTTCGGTACAGAGCACACACACAACGGGAGTCTGTCTCGAGTGCCCTCTTGTAACACTGCAGTGCCATCTGTGGGCGGTTCTAGAGACAATCGGAAAGACAAACACTAAGTTCAGACAACTGCTTAAAGGCTGCTCTCTTGTTTATATGATTACAGTGCATGTGTATACCATATGAGCGAGGCAGGAGCCTGAAAGAAGGTGTGTATATGCCACTAGAGCCCTGGTAGCTGACAGGGCAGAAGCCGCCTGTAGATCAGACAATGCTTCCGAACTCCGACCCTCATTCAGCTTTTCTGCACCTTTTTTAAACATGTGGAGTCACACAGAGGAAGTCTATGAATACATCACAGTCATATTTCACCATCATCAGTGTTCATAGCTGTCGCTAGTGTAAAAAGACACATTAGCAACACACAAACATTTAAACATGTCACAAATACTGATTTTGGAAGCATGTAATAATAGTTTGCTGACAAGGGATCACCAAGGTGAAATGTTAATTTGCAAAGCAGAGAGCAGAAATCTGCACTATGACTTATCCCTTATTAAATATGGTAGCATGAGCAGAAACAGCTATAACTGAGCCTCAAAAATACATTGCTAAAAAGCATGAATGTAGCCAACCTTGAGCAATGGAAGTGCAGATCTGTAATAATTCGGTAAGCCTTTTAAGTTCCATCACCAACAGAGGACTCTTTGACAACCTTCCTTTTGCCTCGCTTGGACTGCCATCCCCAACTCCATCACATACTAGCTCACAAAGAGAAGACATCTGCTCCTGCATGACATGAAAAAATACAATAACTGAATCATTTTAAACAAGAACAAAAACAAATCAAAGATCAAACTTCCATCTCGACTCGACAGATGGGGACTGCACACAGGTCTTTAAATGCTTATCCACTGTGGAGTACCATCAATGTAGTTTGTATTACATGCAGTGACAGAAAACACTGGGATAGCATGAATCCAACAAATAACTGTGGGAAAATAGTTTCTACCAACTCTGTGTCAGGTGACTTAATTTCTACAAGGTAACAAAGAACAGCCATGAAATTTGAGTCAAAATCAGCACAGTGATTTATCCCATAAAAAGCAGTTAAACATGCATCGCATGGGGCTAAAGGAATGGTTTTCAATGCATAGATCCTACAGTTTGTTTAAAACTAAAAAGAAAGTAGAAAGGTGTGGACATAACCTAAAAATCATCTTACTTGTAATTCCCATATATTTTCTAGCTGGCATTTGGCCAGCCATAGTGCCCACTGCAGACAGAGGAGGTACAAAACATGAGGATGCAAAGCTGTGTTTCCCGCTGATTTAAGCCCTGCTCTCCACAGCACAAGCGGATCAGAAGTATCAGCGTTATTTCCTGTCACCTGTAACACTGTAAAGAACAATGGCAGGCTGTAAAATTCACACTTGAGAATCTCTGAACTTACAAAAATTTGGATTTGTGGCATTAGTTCCTGAATCCTGAATCATGGCAATTTTTCCACATAGAGGCCTACCTCGCTCAGTGGCTTCTTTGAGGAGCAGCTCAGCTTCTGAAAACTGAGACTGAGCAGTAAAGCATACACACGTATTGTACACCACTGCCAACTCCAGCTGGGAGTGATCTACATGAGGAGGGATACCTGCGGAGGAGAGACGCGTAGAAAGAAGCTGCATTAAGGTAAATTATACGGTGTCATGATTTCCTTTGTCAAATATATATTTGTCACACTTGCATGTTTCAGATCATTAAACTAATTTCAATATTAGACAAAGATAAACTGAGTAAATCAGAAATTTTTTTTTACTAAACCTTCAAAAAGTTCAAACTTTCATTTAATCAGCCTACAAAATATTCTCCTGTCTTGGGGATCGAGAAGTCTTTGTGTTTGAGCAGTGGTTTTCTCCTTGAACTCTCCTATGGATGCCATTGTTGCCCAGTCTCTTTCTTATTATTGAATCATCAACTCTGACCTTAACTGAGACATATGAAGTCTGCAGTTCTTTAATGTTGTTCTGGGGTATTTTCTGACCTCCTGGATGAGTCGTCACTGCACTCTTGGAGTAATTTTGGCCTCCTGGTCACTCCTGAGAAGTTTCCCCACTGTTCCAAGTTTTTCTCCATTTGTGTATGAAGGCTCTTACTGTGGTTCACTGGAATCCTAAAGCCTTAGGAAATTGCTTTGTAGCCCTTTCTGGACTGAAGGATGTCAGTGAATTTGTTTCTCGGGTGGTTCTTTGGGTCGTGGCATGATGTGTTGCTTTTTGAGAACTTTTCACTTTGTCAGACCGTTTTAATTTAAGAGATTTCTTGATTCAACTGGTCTGGCAGTAATCAGACCTGGGTGTGGCTAGTGAACCTGACCTCAGCTTTCCGAGGTGGGTAGGTTTGGATAGCTTTTAATGAATAGCTCTTAATAAATGAACTAATCGTTTACATTTAAAAAATGCTTTTTGTATTTACTCAAATTATCTGCGTCTAATATTAACATTTGTGATGATTTGAAACATAAAATGTGACAAATAAATCACATAGTACCTTGGATTTTCCTCAAAAGTTTGTGAAATTCAGAGGAACACCACCTCAGGCTGGACTGGCTGTGGTCTCGGCTCACAGCACCTCCAGCTGCCTCCTGCTGCTGAAACAGTCAAGTGAAAGCAAAATGACACCATGATCAGGATGTACCACAGTGTTGGATACATTTATGTCAGATACCTTCATGAGAGTATTTTTGAGCGCACTTCACATTGCAAACTACCATCATGAGGGATACCCCTTACTCCTTTCTTATGTTTGGTATAAGTGGCTTTGTGTAACTTAACGCTGTTCTACATCTCCAATAATAATCCAAAACAATATCATAAAGAAGACTTCATGACTTTTTCTCCAGGTAGAGTATTTTACGTAATTGTATGTGTTATACAATACGCAAACCTCTTCTATTTCTGTATTATGTTACGGTAGGGAGGCTAATATACAATCATTAAAGAAAAAGACAACACAGAAGGACTTCAGTCTGTCAGGAGAAAAACTGGCTCTGTTTTACATTTTAGCACATGAATTAAACTATGCGTTTTTAGTCATCTAATCCATTCGCAGTTACAGTTTTATTTGATGTTAGTATTGCTAATTAATCGCAGAGCTGTGATTAAATGTAGACCTGCTAGCCGGCCTTACCCACCTTGCACTTATTTACCAACTCGTTGTTCTCCTGACTCCACTTCTCGAGTAAAGAGGTCGGCTGATACATTTTAACCAAACATCACATCGGTATTTGGTGAAAAAGCTGGAGGGGTTTCGTTTGAACTTTCCCTCGTTTGTCAAAGAGAAGCGAGCAACACAGGAAATAAAACGTTACAGGCTGAGTGGCAACGGGGCTCTGCTGCCCCCTGTGGACACATGTGGGGTCGACACCGGCATTCTGCTGACTGACCAGCAGGTGGTGCTGTGACGGAGTCAAGTTTAGATGCTTTCTAGAAAGTTCAATCTCTGGGTCTGGCAGAGCCATGATTAAGGCGTGAGCTACTTCTCTATGGTCAGTAAATTTCCACAGTTACAAAGCTATTTTTTATTATCTGCATGACTGCTGTGTAGTTCTGAAAAAAAGCATCGGCCTCGGTTACATGCATAAACACTATCTAAAACCTTAATTGAATTACAGCTGATTCATCCGTTAGACTTCCGGACTACCATTTTTCTGGATGTCATTCCCAAGGTGACTCCCTGTTTTGTCCCCCAGTTCCAGTCACACCCTGTCATCCCTCCTTCAGTGCATCCACTTGTTCCCTGACGACTGTGTTCTTCGTTGTCTGCCTTCCAACACAGCTCTTCTGTTCTCTGATAGTCTCAAATCACTGAAATGTCTAAATATACCCCTCTGAAACAAGGGAAACTCCACAGCCTAAACTCAGTGCACCTGCAAATGCAAGATATCATTCCTCTGGGACAGGTTTCACTTTTTTCTGACATTTTCCTCTGCATCGATTCTGCTATTTTCCATCTCTGTATCTGTCTCACTCTGCTGCTGTCTGCCCATCCATTGCTTCAAGGACAAGGCCGCTACATGGCAACATCCTTTGTGCTCTTCTATCAAAAGCCTTTGCAGTGGCAGTCATCAAGCTTTCAGCTATATTGAAAAATGTGACTGATTAATTCACCTATGACAGCACCGGAGAGAGGATTATGTTAATTCTGAGAAGCAAAAGCAGCAGACAGACTGCAGGTGACCTGTTATTTGGAGGTCATATTCCAAGCAATATATCTTAGTTTGGCTGTTACAAGATTTTTGGTTTTAAGTAACAGATACTCGTGCTTTCAGGCCAGACTGTTTTGAGTTACTGCAATAACTGCTGATAAACCTCAGATCTGGCCTGCTGCTTATATTTCATGTGCACTTACATTTTGACATGTGCTACAGAAAGTGCCTTTCACAGCAGAATCCTGTCATCTCTGTTGCATTATCCTCATCTATAAAACATGCAGCCAGTGGATGGAGGGGCTGTGACGCATGTAATTCCTATGCTGGAGAACCCCCACCCCCACCATCCCACCCCAAACGTGTGAGACGTGATGCAAAGCACACGGAACTTTACGTGTTTCATTACAAATGTAACACATCTGCTATAGAGCACTTAAGTGTCACACATCCATGGGTGTCACTGAGCTGATGACATTAATGTTACAATAACAAAGAATGGCTGAAAATTAGAAATCACTGCTGTCTGCTAAATGGTGGATTCTTCCAAATATTTGTTCATATTAAAGGCGAGGCCTACAGTTTCCCTTTAAGGTAGAATAAACTCACTCACCCTGAGTGATCAATAGGTGCTGTATGTGCTCTTCAGAACTGCTCATCTTCTCAGAGCAGACATCTCTTTAGATCAGCAGAGACAGCTGTTTGGGGTTTCTGTGAATGCTGTATCAGTGTAACTCATGCTGCTGTTTTTGGTTTCTGTGTCATTTGTGTGCATCACACGCTCAACCTGCAATCAGATTCTGCACATGTTAAAATTGCTCTCTCAAAAAGAAGCAGAAACTAAGTGATGGGAAGCTGCTTTCTGAAAAGGGGAAAGAAGGAAATACTATTTGTGTGTATGCCTGTACTAAAAGAAGGAGTCTGTCAATGGCCCAGCAGTTGAGTTGAGTCCCAGGGGGTATGGCTGTGGATCTGCAAACTCACACTGCAGCAGTGAAGCTACGAGAGCATCAGCAGAACACAGTGGACACCCACACAATCAGTCACAGATGGAAATGAGAAAATTTGCTAAAATCATTTACTGTTTGTTACATTTTAAAGTGGTATTTATTATTAAGGTTAGTTGTCCCTATTAAAGAAACATATTAGAAAGAAGGTCCACCAGGACTTTAGCCACATGTATGCCCATAGTATTCCCATGTGTTTTTTAATATATATTTTTTAAAACTGTGTAAAGAAACACAGAAGCAGGCATTTGTAAATATGGTTAAAATTATTTATATTACAATCTTGTTTTGAAACATCGCCTAGATATTTCCAGGTGCAGTTTTGGATGCTTAAAAAACATATCGCATGTTATCGTCCCAATATTTAGGATTGTTCCGTCAGTAAAGTATCCCCTCATCAACACCTCTAATTCCTTCAAAATACATACTTATCATCAGGATCCTACACTAGCGGGAGCGAGTATCGTCTTGCCATTCCTGCACGGCCGGTAGTTTTCTGAGGAAAAGGTATCTCTTTAAAAACGAGCGTGTCTTGGTGCTGACTACTGTCTTTTCCCTCCCTCCTATAAAAGCTGATCGCTTTCCCTCCTACTGCAGTCAGTTCTCACCGGCCCAGCCAACATGAGTTTCACGGTAGAGCATCACTTCATGGGCCCGAGCTCGTACCGCAAGGCTCGGCCCGCCTCCGTGTCCTCCAGCGGCTTTCACTCCCAGCGCCGTCGCCTCACCTACAGCCAGCCATCCTCAATCGACAGCTTGGAGACCTTTAACGGCGACATGACTCGGAAGAGCGAGAAAGAGATCCTGCAAGCTCTGAACGACCGGTTCGCCGGCTACATCGACAAGGTGCGCAACCTGGAGATGCACAACCGCAACCTGGAGGCGGAAGCGGCGGCGCTGCGGCAGAACCAAGCCGGGCGCGCCTCGGTCGGGGAGCACTACGAAAGGGAACTGGGTGACCTCAGGGGTCTCCTGCAGCAGCTGACCGGGGAGAAGGCCCGCGCGGCAGTGGAGCACGAGCACTTGGAAGAGGACATCCAGCACCTGCGGGTCAGGCTGGAGGATGAAGCGCGGAACAGGGAAGAGTTGGAGGCTGCCGCTCGCGCTATGAAAAAGTACGTCGAGGAGTGCCGGCTGGTACGCCTGGAGCTAGACAAGAAGCTCCGTGCGCTGGAAGAGGAGGCCGCTTTTCTTAAGAAGAACCACGAGGAAGAAGTGGCGGAGCTCTTGGAGCAGATTCAGAGCGCGCAGGTGAGCTTCGACATGCGGGACACCCTGAAGGCGGACGTCACCACCGCACTGCGAGAGATCCGCTCGCAGCTGGACAGTCACGCATCCAAGACCTCAGTGCACGCCGAGGAGTGGTTCAAAGGTGAGTCCGATCAAAAAAGAGGAGGAAAGTTTATTGAAACGATCAAAAGTCTCCGTGCGTAAAGTCATGTTTGTCCGCTGTCCGTGGTGCTGAAGTGTGCCTCATGGATCCACATCGGGATTTATTTGAGGCGTCTCCGACTGTTACGTTGGAATGTTGGTTGATAACATTTATTAATCTATTACATCGAAAACTTTACAGGTTAAATTACAAGTGACGAATTACGCGAACGAAGCAAGATAACCAGTTTGGAAATGCGCAAATACATAAAATAAAAATAATCACTTAAATAATATCAATCTTAGTTGGTGCCCTTTTCTATGACTGCGCAGTTGCGGCATAGTGACCTTTTAAAAAAATATTTAAAAAAAATTAAAGGCCAGCACTGCAGAGGTGAGGTGGCACACAGAGAAGAGACTACGATTAATTTGCACTCTTGCCGGCTAACAGTGGGTGTTCACTGCGTGTTTCTCTTTTTGCTGTGCTGATGGATCTGACCCTGGACTTAGAAGTAGAAAAGTACCTTTCAAGGTCGCGGCGGGCTGATAATGTTTCATCAGTCGGTCGTGCTTTTTACACCCATCTGATGTGATTAATAAAAGCACCTGGACGTAGATCTGATGCATAGAATTACTAGCAAAGCAATAAGTGAGACACGATCTTACAGCCACTGTGAGCAGCACTTAGACACAGCACTTCTGACTTTTATGGTGCTACATAAACACACTGCTGACAACTTTGAAGGCCCAGAAGGGTTTCCTGCGCATTGTAGTTTTGGGTATGTCAAAGGACATATTGGTCTATACCCAATCCCTCTCAGTAGGTGTACGTTTTGACCTGGTACAGCTAGTAAAAGGTACAAACAAATTGACCTTCTCTGAGTCCAGCTGACTGCAGCAGTGGTTTATTCATGCTTGGATGCGGGAGGGAGCTGAGTCAGACTATTGACTGGCAGCTGGACAGTGTCAAGGTTACAGAGGCTCTTTGTAGTGACTGTCTGTTCTCTAAAGCAGGACTGGTTAAATATTTTCAGTTTAAAAAAAGGCCCACGTCTTTAGACTCAAAATGTTCCCCTTTCTTTTAAAAGTATGCATATGTGTCATGTTTCAGGCAATTATCTTAATTAAAAGTGATTTCTAAACATGATATGTACTTTTTAAAATTCTTTTTTTTCCACAGTGCGCATGGAGCATCTGTCCGAGGCTGCTCGGTCTAACCAGGATGCAATCCGTGGAACCCAAGAAGAGATTGCAGAATACCGCCGCCAGCTCCAGAGCCGCACCATTGAGCTGGAGACTCTTCGAGGAACCAAGGAGTCACTGGAGAGGCAGCGTATAGAGAGTGAAGACAGACACCAAGACGACCTCAACTCACTACAGGCAAGGAATCAGCACAGACATGCAGAAAAAGCAGAAATGCACCAATACTGCAAATCTCTTTTCAGACACTTGATGAATAATATGTGACCAGAGAGGATGTTTACGTTTGTTTTGCAGGAAACCATCAATCAGCTTGACAACGAGTTAAAAACTACAAAATGGGAGATGGCTAGCCAGCTAAAAGATTACCAGGAGCTTCTGAATGTGAAGATGGCTCTGGATATCGAAATTGCTGCTTACAGGTTAGTTGGGATCTAAAAAATGTAACTTTAAATTGGTTTCTTTATGCTAAAAGTGATTAACATTTTCATTTTCTGTGTTCTTGTCTTCCAAACAGGAAACTACTGGAGGGAGAGGAGAATCGCTTTGTGTCAGGTGGAGGCCCATACTCCT